TCAGTGCATCTTAACCAGCGTGAGCGGCTGCCAGCAGCGGGTATGCTGAGGATTGTGCACAGATGGTTGAGCCTGTGTTTCCAAGCCAAATCCCTCAGTCTTACCAGGGTTACCTGTTTTACAAACAACTTTAATTGGCATTTTGTATTTACAACACAGGCATACTATAAGCTTCTGGGTTAAAGAGTTGGGGAAATAATTAAATAAAGGGAAAATAAGCTACATGTAGGTTTAGCTCAGTTGATCCCAGCTTCATATGTTGGTAATCACCGCTGCCTGCTGGATTTGCACACAGGCACGCAACAAACAGGCCGCTGATGTGTGTATCATCCACTGCTGCAGTGCATTCTCTGGACTAATGCATTACATATCAGGGTCTCAATGCAGAGATGTGCAAACCTGAGAGAAGTGTCCAAAAATGGAAACTCTAGATGCTTTTTTTGTAACTGCTTGAGACTTGTACTTTGTTGAGTCTTTATGCAGGGTTTAGATCATTTTGCACTGGAGACGATTTTTTAAATAATTTGTAAAAATTTGTCAAAATCCTTCATCTTCCAGTCCTACATCACATTAATTATTACATTTCCTTTTAAATTATTGGCCTCCAGTGTCAACATTTCTGTTGCTCATTAATGATGACACTGAATGCTGTTTCAGGCCCATCAACAAGCCAGTTAAAAATACTATGCCTGAAACTGCAATTCAGTGGTCTATATCGTCCTCTAGAGGCCGAAGAGCTGCATTTTCCCAAAATTATTATTATTATTGTTATTTATTACGAACATTATATCAACCAATAAAAGCAGTTAACATACAAAAAAATAAAATAAAATAAATAAAATAAAAATAAAATTAAAAAAATTCTAATAATGACAAAACAAATAAAGATTAAACAGCTTACAAATTTAAACTGTTTTTAAAGCCTTCTCATTACATGAGTTAGAAAAATTCCCATATAATAATGCTGTTTTTTAGCAAGCAAAACATAAAACAGTGGCTTCTGAGATGAGAAATACAATTTTTAAAGGAGATTAAGTACAATTAGTTTTTCTAAATGCACTTTTTTTCTTTATTGACAAGCCCAAACTAAATATTTTCCCATAGTAAAGAAAGATCTTTATCAATGTTCTCAATAACAAATCAAGAGAGGTCTTTCTACAACAATTTAGGGTAATGGCAGTGCCAAAATAAATGCACTATAGTCTCTGGGTGCTGTTTGCAAAAAGAACAGTTTGTATCAATATCTTTTTTGTATTTCTTTAAGAAAGTGTTAACAGGATATATATGATGGATAATTCGAAAGGAAACTTCTTGTATCTTATTATTAGTAATAAAGTATATATTTGGAATCAGCCAAACTTTCCTCCAAGCAATACCAGAGACAAAAGCATTCCAATAAACCGTTACATTTGGAATTTATACAAAATCATTAGCATTTTCACCTTAATACCGGCCCTAAAACCTTACACAGTGACATTGTTCCGTTTTAAAAACAATTTTACTTTTAATCTAAACATAAATTCATTAATTAACCCAAGTAAAACTATTCAAACATTTACATTACTCTATGTGGCTTTAAAAGCCATTTGTAACTGTATACAACTATAGAATATTCACTTACATATTCACACACACACACACACACACACACACACACACACACACTCTCTCTCTCTCTCTCGCATCTGAAATTTTCATCTAAAATTAGCATTTTTATCAGGCTCCTAGGTTCAGTAATTTTACTCTAATGTCAAACGTATAGGCCCTTTTCTATGCACTTAAAGTGAAATAATTGAACATAAATATAGGAGCCTGATAAAATGCTTATTTTAGAAGAAAATTTCAGATGGCACTTAGAGGCTTTTGCATCTGAACTATATATATATATATATATACATAAGGGAATTACATAAGGGACCCTTTTATTCAGGTATCATTAATGTAATCCATTTGGCTATTTGTTGTAGTTTCATTTCCATAACTGAAAATAAATCTGTAGTGTATGTTTTCTGGTTGAAGGGTCTACATTTTTCATCTCTATGATGACTATTTATAATAAACTAAATGTTTACACTTCAGATATTGACATATATTACACGATCCTATTTTAACAATAATACAAAGTACATGTTTACACATACGGATGTAATAAATTAAATCACCGCCATTAAATACAAGAAGAACTAAAAAGAAGACTTTTATTTTGCCTGGCAGTTCCCCAGAAGTAACCAGACCCGGAAACGCCTTTTAAAATAACTGCGTCGTGTGTGAGTGGGGTTGCATTGCGTTGCAGACCGTCACAGGCCTCGGACTCGCAGTCATGGCTGGTAAAAGAGCTCTGGTGATTCTGGCGAAGGGCGCGGAGGAGATGGAGACGGTGATCCCGGTGGATGTCATGCGCAGAGCGGGGGTCTGTACGGCACTCTTCCATTGAGCTGTGGAGCTCGCGCGAATGCAGTGCTGTTGTGTGCAAGTCTGTAGGCAAATAGTTATGTGTGTGCAGGGCATAAATGCATCTGAATTTCTGCATTTGTCTTTGTAAAGTGTCTGTTGAATGTGCAACGGTCGGTATATGGTCACATACTGCTGCCAGACTCTGAGCTGCCAGTGTGTAAATGCCAAAGAGCACAGAGTCAACTGGACTCTGACATTACATAATCAGAGATTTTATACTTTATACTTTTATTTAGCAAGGATGCATTAAATTGATCAAAAGTGACAACACATACATTTATAATATTGCAAAAGATTTCTATTTCAAATAAATGCTGCTTTTGATCTTTCTATTCGTCATAGAATTCTTAAACTTTATTCATAACAATAAGAAATGTTTCTCGAGCAGCGAATATTTAGAATATTATGATTTCTGAAGGATCATGTGACCCTGAAGACTGGAGTAATGATGCCGAATTTTGTGCCCTACTGTACAAATAACTGACTTAAAAACATGTTGAACAGGGGTTAAATAATTGTGATATACCTGTAAAAAGTGAAAAAGGAAATATACAACTAATCTGTTAGTTCTAATCTGCTTTTTAATAATCCCCCCCCAAAAAAAACTGGAATTTCAGAAAAGCTTACATTTGAAATTATTGAATTAAATTATTATTAAACTGTTGCAGTATGTGGGGGGTTGAATCATTTTAATTGCAATTTTATATATGTATGTATAAACACACACACACACACACACATAGATAGATAACTTCCACATTAAAACATAGTATCAAATGTACAAATATACTGATTGAGAGAAGGGAAACATAGTAATATATATACACGCACACACAAAAGCAGATATGCTCATTTCCTGGATATTTTTTTCTCTCTCCCATAGATTGCTGTTACAGTGGCAGGTCTGGCGGGTAAAGAGCCGGTGCAGTGCAGTCGTGATGTCATGATATGCCCAGATTCAAGCCTAGAGGACGCCCGCAAACAGGTTTGGTTTTAGCCGGCTCCTCATAAGTTCAAGTTGACTAGAACTAATTTGTGCTGAATGAAGTTGAAGCTGAAGGTGAATGGAGTGCTGTCTCCATCCACTGGCCAAATAGTGCACTGCCAATAAAACTTGATGAAACTAGACTTCTATAAATATGTTCAATTTATCACATCCAAAACCTTGATGCCAACATATGCACATCAGCTATAGAAACGAAACATCCTTGATTGACAAACATTATCAAAACACCCCTGTTTGCAACTTAATGCAGATGAATGTCATTTTCCTGACAGGGTCCGTATGATGTGGTACTTCTGCCTGGAGGTTTGCTTGGAGCTCAAAACCTTTCTGAGGTACGACTTTGCTTTAATTATGTGTGTTTTACAGTTGAACGGATTCCATAGGAGAGCTCTCACGCCATGAGCATCTTGTGTGTGCAGGGCATAAATGCATCTGAATTTCTGCATTTGTCTTTGTAAAGTGTCTGTTGAATGTGCAACGGTCGGTATATGGTCACATACTGCTGCCAGACTCTGAGCTGCCAGTGTGTAAATGCCAAAGAGCACAGAGTCAACTGGACTCTGACATTACATAATCAGAGATTTTATACTTTATACTTTTATTTAGCAAGGATGCATTAAATTGATCAAAAGTGACAACACATACATTTATAATATTGCAAAAGATTTCTATTTCAAATAAATGCTGCTTTTGATCTTTCTATTCGTCATAGAATTCTTAAACTTTATTCATAACAATAAGAAATGTTTCTCGAGCAGCGAATATTTAGAATATTATGATTTCTGAAGGATCATGTGACCCTGAAGACTGGAGTAATGATGCCGAATTTTGTGCCCTACTGTACAAATAACTGACTTAAAAACATGTTGAACAGGGGTTAAATAATTGTGATATACCTGTAAAAAGTGAAAAAGGAAATATACAACTAATCTGTTAGTTCTAATCTGCTTTTTAATAATCCCCCCCCAAAAAAAACTGGAATTTCAGAAAAGCTTACATTTGAAATTATTGAATTAAATTATTATTAAACTGTTGCAGTATGTGGGGGGTTGAATCATTTTAATTGCAATTTTATATATGTATGTATAAACACACACACACACACACACATAGATAGATAACTTCCACATTAAAACATAGTATCAAATGTACAAATATACTGATTGAGAGAAGGGAAACATAGTAATATATATACACGCGTGAGCCCATGTGGCCGTAAAGAGCAGAGGAGAGCGGAAGGCGTCCCAGAAAACGGCAGATGTCCCCATAGGGATCTCTAATGAACAGGAAATGGCTTCTTATAGTGCCGTGGAGTACCTTCAAAACCTTCGAGTCTGTGTCCGTAGATTCAGAATGCACGATCAGATTGTTAAAAATAAATTAGCATCTGTAATTTCTTGGGTAATTACACTGGCAAACTCAAAATCCTTATCCATGTCTAATTAGCTTTGCATATGCATACGCTGGTGTACTCCTAAAAGTTGACCGACTAAACTTCTAGTGGCCTTTTAACATCAGTGAAAAACATTCATGACATTCAGGGTAATTCTAGTTGACTAAAACCATAAAAAATGAAATAATAATTTTAATAATAATCCATCTCTCTCATATATATATATATATATATATATATATATATAATGGAATGCTATAATTAGTGCTGTCAAACAATTAATCGCATACAAAATAAGTTTTTGTTTACATAATGTGTGTACTTTTTATTTATGTATATATTTATTTATTATGTATATATAAATACACACATACAGTATATATTTTGAAAATATTTAAAGTGAAGTGACATGTGGCCAAGTATGGTGACCCATACTCAGAATTAGTGCTCTGCATTTACCCATCCAAAGTGCACACACACAGCAGTGAACACACACAAACCGTGAACACACACCCGGAGCAGTGGGCAGCCATTTATGCTGCGGCGCCCGGGGAGCAGTTGGGGGTTCGGTGCCTTGCTCAAGGGCACCTCAGTCGTGGTATTGAAGGTGGAAGAGAGCACTGTACATTCACTCCCCCCACCTACAATCCCTGCCGGTACGAGACTCGAACCCACAACCTTTGGGTTATGAGTCTGACTCTCTAACCATTAGGCCACGACTTCCCCCACAATTTACATGTGTATATACATTTATATATTTATTTTAGATAAATATATTTAAAATATAAACAACATGTTTTTCTTAAATATATACATAATAAATATACACAGTACACATACATGTTATGTAAACAAAATTATTTTGGATGCGATTAATTGTTTGACAGCACTTATTTATATATACTGTGTGTATATATATATATATATTAACCTTTTTTGTAAATCTTGTAAAATAAAACATGTTGTATTTTAGCTAGTTGCATTTAGTTTAACTTAATAATGAAATTAATAAAACATTAAGTATACACATTTAATAAAATGACAAACTCTTAACAAAATTTCTAAAACTTTAACTAAAATTTAAAATAATAACAAAGAATATAAAATAAAAACAAATTTAAAATATTAATAAAAACTACAATAGTACTCCGTAATACTTAAATATCACTGATGACATCTGCTGACCAGGGGCATATACCTTTCTGTCCAATAAAGTTTTCTAGAATAGAAATGTCGTCTTTTTCTAATGCCACCTGCCAATGACTAGCCATAGAGAGAAGAGAACCATGGTTTTGAAGGGTTATGATATAACCAAAGGCTAGTGGCTACAAATAATAATAATCCCCCCCCACCCCTTTTGTTTATTTATTTGAGCATATTATTTTTTGCTTCCTGTTTCAATAGAAAATACTTGAACACAGGAACGAGAATTGTTAATCAACGTGAAATTTAAAGGCATATTTACTTGGATTATATGTTACTGTTAAATGTTCTGGATCAAAAGACTGATTGGGGCGTAAAGGCCTATTATACTTGCCTTTCTTTTATTTTCTTTTGTGGACTGAGCTTTTCACAAGCAAGACCCGTAACAGTAGATGCAAGGATTAGATCGGTCAGTAAACGTCCTGCCAGAGAAAGTGTAATCACTAGACCGCACTGGGCATCTGCCAGGGTGCACAATCAATAGTTAAGAGCTCTCTTTTCATTAATGTTCAGATGAGCTCAGGGCACTGCCAATGAGAATGCAGCAAAACCCTGTTATTTTTAGATCCCTATTTTTACTTTATTCCGTTCCTTCTTCCAATACAGATTGCAGAATTAGATGGAAATTGTATACCTGGTTTATTTTAGATAACAGTATATTGATGTTTGGCTGATAGCGATATGATTTACACCACGTAAAAGTCACTTTACCCCTTCCAGGCACTGGCACTGAATCATGCACAGTTTGACTTCAGCAAGAAGTTTTATATTAAAAATAACTAGGTTTGCACATTTTCTGAAGAAAATGTGATTGGAGTTTTACACACCCATACAAGTTTGTTCAAATCCTTTACTCGAGTATAATGATGCTTAGCTTTGCAAACAGCACAAATAAGAGTCACATGATTTTTTTTCACATTTTTCTGCTTTTATAAAGTGAAATTGTCCAACTTAATGAAATTTTCTGACCTGATGCAGGCCCGACGGCACTCTTGGCTCACGGTATCGCATATGGCAGCACAGTTACCACCCATCCAGGTGCCAAGGACAAGATGATGGCTGGTGGTAATGTCTCTGCATATACCTAGAGTTTTTCTCACAAGCCTTTAATATCAGTGATAGAAACTTGCATACTTAAGGGGCATGTCTTGGAAAAGAACACACAATAAACATCCAACAGAAGAGTACACAATAGCCATGTTTATGGACTCCTTTTGTTTCATTTGGAACGAAATCATCCCGATTGATGAATCCGAACTTGGTGTTAAATGAACGCTAAATAAAGTGATCAGGTTGACGTGCGTGTTTATACTTTGTCACACGCTTCAAATCAGATTTAGGGCCAGTTTTACTAACAGCTTGTGCCAGCACAAACTGTCTTTTGGCGTTAAAATAGTACTGTCAGGATTTACTAAAGAAGCACAGTGATGAATTATCGCTGAAAAGGTGTTATTTTTGCACCTGACCTTATTGAATATGCATTTGTAGGAGTTTCCCTTTCAGACGCAAAATTTATGGGAGGAGAGTATTAAAATGAATCACGCAACTAGATTAACTAACTTTTGCGCTCGTCAAATTACTGGTATTTGCGCCATTATTTAACGCCCCAAAAAAGCATGTCAAACTATTTTTGCACTTGAAATGGCTGCAAATTTTTGCTAGGAGGACGCACCGCAGAGAACAGAGAGTGCGTGGTAGGAGGGAGAGGATTTTTTTCCACACATCATTTATTTGGAATGCAAGAAGAACACGAAAATATCATTTGCCAAGCCATGTTCTTTTTAATTTGCTTCAGGAAATAAAAGATGACTTGGAACCCTCATCTAGGAGTCACACAAAAAATCAGGTCTATCAAAACTCCTTGCAACCTCAAGCATTTTTTGGCCTCCGGTTCTTTTCAATGTGTTGTGGCTACTTTATTTCTTTATTCTTTAGTTGCGACTGCTCTAATTTGCGCTGTGCTTGGCATATTGCATTGGTCGATATGTAAATGATGTTGCGTCTGTGTTCTTTAATTTGCTCGTTGTTAGTAAATCACTCGCAGAAGTTTCTACGCCCATCTGCGCTGTTTTGGAATTGCGCTCTCGCACTAATTTGCCCTGTTTAGTAAAACTGGCCCTTAATCTTTGGAGTTTCCCCCTATTTCAAAATGCACATACTAGCCTTCTTCCTGCATCTTTTCTTTGTTTTAAAAAGCTAACTTTATATAGAAATTGTGGTGGACATTACTTTTGTATTTCATTAAACACAATGGATATGTATCTCTAGATATGTTGTAGGTCAGTGGTTCCCAAACCTGTCCTGGAGGCCCCCCTGCCCACACACCTGATTCCACTCATTAGCTCGTTAGTAGAGACTGCAAGAACTAAATTGGGTGTGTCTGATTAGGGAGACATACAAAATGTGCAGGGCAGGGGGTCCTCCAGGACAGGTTTGGGAACCACTGTTGTAGGTCATTCAGGATTTCTTAATTAATTACATAATGACAAAGCTGTTGTCGGCAGACCAAAAGCTACACTATATTGTTCTTCTTAAACTAGGGTGCTTTTGTGTTTTGTTTCGCTGCAGGAGAACGAAAAATAAGGATTGCACTTATCGATTGTGGTGATATCTTTAGCCATATGAATTATTTTGTATTCTTTCCCCAGATCATTATAAATATTCAGAGGCTCGTGTTCAGAAGGATGGTAACGTGATCACCAGCAGAGGGCCAGGAACCAGCTTTGAGTTTGCCTTGACCATAGTGGAAGAGCTTATGGGTGCAGAGGTTGCTGCCCAAGTCAAAGCCCCCCTCATCCTGAAAGACTGATCATCAAACTGTGAAGATCTCGCATTTACAATTGTACTGCTATTCCAATCTGAAAGAGAGTTGAATTTAATTGGTTTAGAGTTTTCCTTGCATGTGAGTTTCTGTAGGAATATGACTATTTAATGAAGTTACTTAAATATATATTTGAAGAGGTAATCTAAATGGCTTTTTATGGCTTTCTGTGAGGTCTGATTCCCAGTTCTCTTGCTCTGCACTTATTAACTTCTGAACCAGAATAAAGTCATAGTGCACTAAACTCATAATGTCTCTTAATAACTGAAGCATTTAACATGAACTGATAAATATGGAGCATTTTGATGACATGAACAGAAAGGAAAAGGAGCATTATAATTAATAATAATAATTTTAAATCAACATTTAATTTGTTCCTCTTTAACGCACAGCATTGTTTACATTTGTGCCAAACAACTTCTAGTACATGCAATTGTTTCAACACGTACAGAACAACAAGGACAATAGGAAATGAGACATATAATAATAATAATAATAATAATACAATAAGTAGCCAAAACGAAATGCCAGGGGAAAAAATACAAGGATAAATATTTAAAGTAATTTTTTGGCTTTTAAAAGATTTTTAATTTTATTAATTTATGCCCATCAAAGACAAAACACAGGATTTATAGTCTATCAGAAAATCAATAGTAACGGTTACATTCATTTTTAAGAAGACATAATACCTTACTGGGTATAGCGTCCATTGCAATGGCATATTCTCTGGGACTAATTGGGATTTTAAATTTGCAAAGAAAAAATGTCAGAACTGTTGGACGCTTGAAACATGTTTCTAGTGACGTACTGCGAGGCCAACCAATCAAACGCCGCTGTCTTGTCGCGGTGCGCTTCAACCAGCCAATAGGAGCGTCCCTGCGCAGCGCGAGTGTGTCTTTTGTAGCGCGTGGCGAGAGTGTGAAAAAAGCCATCGGATGCTGCTTGACGGCCTTTGCTCTGACTGAAGAGAAGCGCGACATCACACTAAACCGTCTGAGCGGTGAAGAAAAGTGTATTGTCGTGTTTGATGAACTCTTATCCTGCTGCAAGGTAAGGATACTATATTTTATACTCTGTTTAGCTATTGTTATGCAAGAAATCAATCACGACTAAAGACTTGTGTTGCTGAGGTAAATCGCAGAATATCTCACGTGGCGACGGTGAGCTGCCGTTATCTTACAGCTTATAAAGTTAGGAAATGATGATCGCAATTAATTTGTTTCGTGTTTTGCTACTCGCCTGCTAACTAGTTTGTTGTCTCTGAGGTTTGAGCTTTAAAGTGAACTTGAAGAAGGGAAACTGAAGTACATCATCATCCGAAGCTCTGGGAGTCAGCATCTTCTTCCATTAGAATAGTATTAATATTAACAAAACACGCCAGAGATGTGTTCTGCATCCTTTAAAGGCAGTTTACACTCGGTAAGTAACTTAGGGGTTTGCAGGATATCCTTTTCATGACCCTTTACCGGTATTTCCCTTGGTTACCATAGTTTACATCAAAACACCGTTACTGTTGCTACTGAAAAATAAACAAACAAACAAAATAAGTAAATGTTTTATTAATCGCATAGTGTAAAAATGTTTTTTTTTTTTTTTACATTTTTATGACTGGTAATACCAAGTTAGTTTAAATAAAATAACCACTGTGGTATGGTATTTTGGTAGACATTATGGTTAAGGTAACTTACATGTTTAAAGGGAAGTTAGAAAACATGTTGTAGAGCAATTTTAAAATTTACATTTGTGCATTTCTAAAACACTTTTATACAAAGCAGCTTACATTGCTTCCATGCATTCCCTGGGAATAGAACCAATTGCTAGCGCCATTTTTTTTTACTGTCTGAACTACATGAATGCATTTAAGGATTTGCTGACATGATTTTTGACTGGACAAATTAACCTGAATCCCTGAATCTGAAATGTGTGAAATTTACTAAATAAAATTAATAAATAAATTACTCGCCCTCAGGCCATCCAAAATGCACATTAGTTTGTTGTCATCGGATCAGATTTGGAGAAATGTAGCATTACATCATTTACTCACCAATGGATCCTCTGCAGTGGATGGGTGCCGTCAGAATGAAAGTCCAAACAGCTGATAAAAACATCACAGTAATCCACACGACTCCAGTCCATCAATTAATGACTTGTGAAGTCAAAAGCTTTGTGTTTGTAAGATTCAAATTCATCATTAAAGTGTTATAACTTCAAAACATTTGCATCTTGCCAAAATATGAGTCTATAATCCATCATAACACTTCCTCCAGTGGAAAAAGTCCACTCCTTTTTGTCTTCTCACATCAGAATCCAAAGACAAATTTGTTTATGACTGTTTTCACTTGTGAACAGTGCTTGATCTGTGCATATTTCTCTCCTGATTGAGACGAGATGATCTTTTCACTGGAGAAAGCTGTATTATGGACTCATTTAGCCAGCAGCAACATTTTAAAATAAAATTAAAATAATGAGGGATTTGTTTTAAGTTGCTAGTTGATGGACTGGAGTGGTGTGGATTATTGTGATGTTTTTATCAGCTGTTTGAACTCTAATTCTGACGGCACCTATTCATTGCAAAGGATCCATTGGTGAGCAATTGATGTAATGCTACGTTTCTCAAAATTTGATCCGATGAAGAAACAAACTCATCTACATTTTGGATGGTCTGAAGCTGAGTAAATTATTGGTAAATTTTCATTTTTGACTGAGCACCTTTTATAATTTAAAGCTGCAGTCCGTAAGTTTGGCCTCTTTGTCGCCATCTCTGTTTAAAAACCTGGAATTGCAGCTGTGTGCGGAATTATCTAGCTTGTGTGGGTTGTGCGGCGGCACGGCTCCAGCGCGGATGAATCTAATGTTCTGAGGAGTATGTGTGTGTGGCAGTCAGTCACCGCACCACTGTGGATATTTACTGTACTTCGCAATCACAGATTCTAGCCTACATTTTGGAATATATGACCCAAATAATAATTTTCATCGGATATTGTCATCTGAACAAGTAGGGCTGGCCTTTTTTAAACAACAATAGGGCCCTATAAAATGTTCTTAATTTTTCTGGTAATCAGATGAAGGCATAAAACATTAATTTAATTTATCCTAATTAGGGGTCGACCGATATGTGTTTTTCAAGGCTGATGCCGATACCGATTATTACAGATCAGGTAGATCAATAACCGATATATATGTCTGGTGTAAAAATGAAAATTAATGTCAAAATTAAGAATAACAAGGGCTCTGACAAAAACTGCCTTCCCTGGTGTTGGTTGAGTGTAGTACTCCCACAGTAAACTCTTTATTTTGAAGCATTAAACTCTTTATTTTTGGCAAACAAAGGGTTTATTATTAAAATTAAAACATGGAAGAAATAGCGTATTGTGTGATTATTCTTTTAAACAAATGTTGTAATAATTGTTGTAGTAGTCAGGGGTTAAAGCAAAAAGAAACCCTTGGCCAAACCCCATTCCTCAGCCATACCTGACACACCCGGTTTAAGAGCAGTGTTTTTCAGGAGCGCTTGTCCTCCTAATTAAAAAAAATTAAGAAGCACCTTCTGATCAATAATAAAAAATTCTGATCAAAAATTAGCCTTCCTAATACGAGGTGACATGTGACTCCTTAAAGTGACTTACAGGGGTATTTTCTTTTTACCTTTGCAATGGCATCCTTTTCATCTGTCAAATTCAAAATGTATGTTTATAAGCTTTTTAAAATGTATATTAAAATCGAAATTAGTATTAATAAAAAATCTATTTGTACTACAGAGGGTGCACCGAAGAACACAAAAGGTACGTTTTCAGACGTTTAATGAGGATCAGAGGTAATTAAATTCATAAATTCATGTGGAGATTAATGTTTTAAATATAAAATTTTGAATACAGAAATATTACATGATTTAAATAACTGAAATGATACCTAAAAATGAAACTGAAACCACCAGCAGGTGGCGGCATGTCACGGATTTTATCACTGAATCATTCACTCAATTGATTCATTTGAACGGCTGATTCATTCAGGAATGAAGCAAGTGACTGTCTTTATGAATGGGTAATCCTGAATCACTGACTCACTTGATTCGTTCAAAAACTCACTTTCAATCATGAATGAAACACCGCTGTGTTTGCTTTTAGAGATGTGAAGCGGCTGCGCTGTTACTTTATTTGGAACTATTTTCATTGATGAAATAGAGCAAAATCAGGCAGTACGTGTTTATTGAACTGTTGTATTAAATCAATATCACATTTGCAAACTCCTTTAATAATTATTAAAACCTGTCACTCTCCTTATCGCGATCTGTGGGTGCACAGAAAATGTGAGTTCTCAAGACTCAAAAGCACGTGCAAATGATAAATGAGGAACCTGCGGGAATGAGTAGAATTATTATCATTAATAGCCACAATCCTGCGCCTGAAATTCAAGACCTGCTCTGTGTTCTCTGCTAATAACCCGACTGTGAATGATGCGAGCGGCGTTATGTTGTCAGTGAGAAGCTGCAGCCGTGGTGGGGAGGATTTTTGGTGTGCTGGTGTTCTGACAAATAATGCTACCTACATTAATAGTCGCAATCCTGCACCTGATATTCAAGACCAGCTCTGTGTTCTCTGCTAATAACCCGACTGTGAATGATGCGAGCGGCGTTATGTTGTCAGTGAGAAGCTGCAGCCGTGGCGGGGGG